TTAGGTTCATAAAATCAAAATAAGTATTTGAAGAATGTAGTTTCTTTTGTGGAAAGATTGACAGTCTTGGAAGGCAGACCATCACTGCATGAGATTGTATGCTGTGTCTAGCCAGTGCTCAGTAGTTCTTTTTGTGACAATGTCTTTTAGTTACCAAATTCAAATAAACATTGTGTTTGTTCATTTAGGTGAAGTGCCATTAATACAGTTTCCCCACAATTTGGGGACTCAGTAAGGGATTAGAACGACATTCACTTCTACACATCACCAAACAAGAAACAAGCCAAGGACAAAATCAAGCAGAATTAACAAAGACTGTTCATGTTTGAAGGCATGTATCTTCAGTGATCTCATTGGACAAAAAGGAGAAAGAAGAAAGAAGTCTTGAAATCACCAAAGTTTGTGTCGAACACATGGCATATTGTGACAAGGACACGTGGAACGGTATTAATTAATATTCAGATGTTTGTTAAGTTAAGTAACCAAGTACAAGAAAGTGAGCTATTCAACATAACTAAAAAACTGCTTTTTGAAGTTAAGCCAGTGGTTTCAAAATGTCGACCTCAAAATGTCAGAATCGAATTTAGACAAACTTGCGAGAAAGACTGACAACGAAGGGTATGACTTTGTATCAGAAGAGAATGGAGAAAGTGATGAAAGCACAGATGAAGAAACAGAAGTCAAAATAAAAGCACACAAGAAGAAAAGTCAACACGAAAAGAATTTAACCCAGAAAATTAAGAAGATGAGTAATAGAAAGAAGGGAAAGGTTATCAACTACTCCAACTCGAAGTTCAACAACGGAAAGAGGTCAATATTACAAATGTAAAATGTAATTGACATTTCTCAAAAAATTAATAAACTCAACACCAACAAGGGCGCAGTTCCTGATGCAATACCTCCAATTATTTTAGTTACATGTAATTTCATCTTCTTCATTTTACAAGTTTTACTTAAAATCACTAAGCGAGGGAAAAATCCATTAAAATGGAAATCTACATACATCATACCGATACATAAATCTATCTCCAAAAATGAAATATCCAATTATAGACCAATCTCTATTCTTAGTGACATACCTTAACTCTTTTAATCCATTGTTACAGATAAATTAAAATCAAAAACTACTTCATTGATATCAGCCAATCAACATGGATGTATGCCAGGACATAATATTGAATGTAACTTAAGTTCTTTACAGCCAGTACATTCTAAACTCTTGAAATAAATATCTATGATACTATTTAAATTGATTTTGGCAAAGCATTCTGAAAACCACAAATTGTTAATTTTAAAACTTAAATGCTTTGGTATATCTGGAATGCTTCTTAAATGGTTAACCAATTACTTGCGTAATAAAGTCCAATATATCAAATATAGAGGTCTCATCTCTAATGAAATTACTGCATCCTCAGGGGAACCACAAGGACCACATTTAGGTCCTATATTATTTGTTGTACTTATCAATGATATTTGCTCACTTCTGGAGATTAAAACTATTTAATAGTATAAAATCCACCAAAGATATTAAAGATCTACAAAATATTATATCAGCTATCTATCAGTGGTGTTTATTAAATGAGTTATATCTCAATCCAAAAAATGCAAATTCATAACTTTCTCTAGAGGTAGAAATATCGACGTTCTTATAAAATTAATAACATATACCTCAAACAAGTTCTCTCAATAAAAGATCTTCGTGTTATATATAACTCAAAAATGAATTTTAATATGCACATTGTTATGATTGTAAATAAATCTCTACAACAACTTGGACAGATCAAGAGAATATGTGGGGTGATCTGAAGTACCACAGCTTTCGAAACTTTGTATTATTCATTAGATAGATTTCACCTCCTTTTTGCTTTATGATTTGGTTGCCATATTTTAATTTTCACATCGTCAGGCTTGAAAGAGTACAGCAAAGATTTTTTTGATTTCTCTCCCCAAGACTTGGCTGTACTGATCTGATTCTAATTCATAATTATGCAAGAATCTCGCAAATGTCAGATATTACATCTCTTAAATTGTGTAGGATGGACAATGACATTGTTTTCCTACATAAATTATTACAAGGTACCACTATTGCTTAGTAATACGTTGTTTCATATCCCTAATCGGTCTACTAGACATATTAAACCTTTTTTCTTGCCTAATTAATCCAAAATTTATACATGAAATAACTTTTTCTTTAGAACTTGTAAAATTATAAATGACCAAAATCTAGACATTTTAGATCTTAGTGTGAAAGAGTTGATAACATGTTTGAGATCATCAATTCAACATAAATAATTATATATACATGTAATATATTTATTTTTTTTATATTTAGCCACAATGATGTACTTGTAAAATATTTTGTTTAGAAATTTAATTATTGTTATAAATTATCCTTTTATTTTTCTATAGTGATATATTAGTAAATTGGACATATTAATGTCAGTACAGTAAATAAAAAAATGTGAAATAAATATACCAAAAATTTAATTGACATTTAGTTGCATCAAAGATTCAATCAAATCATTTGATGGTAGCAGTGGATATCTGATGGACAAATGGATCATTGAATTTGAAGAAACTGCAACCCTGATGGGATGGAATGAATCACAAATGCTCATCTTTGCAACAAAAAAAAAAAAAAAATGATTGAGTGGTCTAGCAAAACTGTTCATTTAAGGAGAAAAGGGAATCACCAGTTGGAAGAAACTGACAAACTCTCTGGAACAAATTCGGCATCAAGACATGTAATGCGGACATTCACAAGATGCTGTTAAGGAGAAGAAAGAAGAGAGACCAGTCACTTCACAAATATATCTTGATGAGGGAAATTCCAGTCGGGGAGATATCGATGAATCACTGTGGCAATATGTGATAGATGGCATAGATGAGGAATCAGGAACCAAGTTGTTACTATAAAATGCAAGAACCTTGAGAGCGTTCAAAGAATAAATGTGTGACTATGAAAGTGCTTTGGCAAGGACATTTTACGAGAAAGCTGATTAAAGTCAAAGGGCAAGAACGCACGAACAATCAAAAAGTGCACAAAATTATTCTTTGCTATGGCAGGGTATACTTCACATGCTACTAGTCACACAATTGTTAATCACATTTTATTCTTCAAAAATTCTAATAGTTTGACTTCCTTTCAAGCATGGGTTTGTTTTATGTTCTCGCTTGGACATAGTTGTCAAATATCCTGTAGTTAAAACATTCTCCCTCAAATTTTGGGGTGCATTCTCACTGACTTTGTCTTGGAAAAATTTGATTTACTTTTCCAAGATAACATTTAACTAATAATTCTGGCCTAAATTTCACAATCGCAGGGGCAGAATGTGCAGCCACAGATGTTTAGATGGTGCAGAATTTGTCTACAGCTTTTGTTCAGGGTCGTTTAAGTCATATAGGCATAAATCATTAATACCCCCAAATATTCGATTTAATTGCACCCACTCTTTTAAACACTCCCAATGCTAATAAAAACATAATGAGAAATTTTCAGCAAAATTCCGTGAACTAGTTTTGCATCGAAGTGCAACACACATCCCTTTTATTTAAATATAGATAGATAGCCCACAAAGATAAGAAATTTAAAAGTCTTCAAATATAATAGAAAAAATTAATTATGAGAACAAAAGAATCAAAACTGAATAACTAGGAGAGAATTCTAGACAGATACTGTGATAAGTGTCAAAATTTAAAGCACTTGCATGCAGGTGCAGGAGAAAATACACCAGGACATGCCAAATTAATCAGCACCTTGTCAGATTTCCCTTAACAGAAATTATAAGAACTACAAAAGAATACAGAGCAGAACATTGTTAGAAATCAATACACTGCCTGATCTCTAATTTCTCTCATACTGAAAAATGTTAATGATATTCAATTAACAAACATTCAATTAATGACATTCAATTACAAAAAAATTCATTTTTTGTAACCGAGTATTGGTGTGTAAAGAAACCTACATTCACATATTAGATTTTTTTAAGAAACTGAAATGATTTTCCTGAAGCTGTTCTAGAGTTATTGAAGGAAGACTACAAAAAGTAAAATATGTATTTTGCAGTGTTCGTATTGTAAAATCACTTATAAATCATAAAAAGGGCATTTATTGTTGTATTTTTTGTCTCCAGCCATCACAACAAAATCCAGGGAGCTGTCAATCAGAATCAATTTAGGGAAGCCTATCCAATGTTGCTGCTACTCCAAACTCATACAAAGTACCAATCCCCCGACATTGAACTCACTACAACAAATGAATTTAGATGTTGTTCCAATAGCACCTGTGATTTCATAGTAACAAGATCAGTTTTTAATTTATTGCTTATGGGGACATTATATCCAAAAAAAAATGTTTGTAGGTAGCATATCCTAAAATCATAAGCAATAACGTGCACCAAAAAAAATTTTTTTTCCTCCAGTAGTTCCAATTTTAAGTTGCTATCACAGGCAAAAATTTCTTAGATATACTAATATTATAAACATATAAATAAATAAATATGTGTGGGTTGATTGAACAGTTTGTCCTAGTAAAGAAAAACAAATTGGCTAGGAAAATGCACACTTACGCATGCACATGCCCACACATGTGCACACCCACGCCTGAGGACACAAACACGCGCACACAACTTTAAAATATAAACCAATTCAGACTCGCCCTCAGAAAAATCAAAAGGAGTATGATTAGTTTCAGCTACACAAGAAGAAGAGAAGAGAAGATAGTAAAAGAATGGCAAGAAACGAAATGGAACGACAGGAATGATCTGTACTCCATTCTTACAGGTTCATCTACACAGTCTAATGTGCTAATTAGCCAGTTAGCCCTAACATTAGCCATACTTTGCCATTTAGCCGTAACAAACGCATACACTACATAGTTAGAAAATAATTTTATATAGTACATATACACATACAATATATGTAAGTGTGCATATGTATACCAATCCTCTGCATTATATTATTCATAGTAACACAAAGTAATACAAATTAACATGCTTTACCAGCAAGTAAAAAGGTTACGAGACAGGTCTCTTTAGGAATATACAATCTCAAACGAGAACCAGAAGTCACAAATTCCACTACAGCTTCCGTGCGCTGGGCTCTTTGGAGGAATGGGAAGAACTGTTTTGCTTTTGTAGGATCCTGAAAAAAAAAAATATTTTTTTGGTTAGAGAAATGCACAAATTGAAACAAATCACTACACAATACACCAAATGACACAACTGAAATCATTAATTTTGAAAAGTTCATAAATTATCATGTTACAGTAACAATTCGTTCCATACATTTTGAAAATTTACCACACAAAATACAGTAGTACCCAATTACAAGAGACATTTGAAGACCTGGATTTTGTCTCAAGTGGAAAATGAATGACAATTGCCTGTTATATTTTTTCTAAGGATATCTTACATTTTTATTCTTGTATACTGCATGATGATGATGTGGATATTCCCCAATCAATTAGGCCAAATTTTGAAGCCTGTGAATTTGAAGCTGATCTTTCAATTTTTGCGAGTATTAAACACCAAGCCTCTGGGATATTTTCAACATTTTTTAGAAATATTTTTGGCTCAAATCAAGCAAAGTGCACTGAAATAGAATTTCTAATTTTCTTTAAAATTCTGAGGAAGAAAATTTGTTTTCTTTTATTTTCCAACCTGAACTATTGCAGGCCATTATCCAAGCTAGATATTTCTTTCACAGTGCAGACTATTCCTTAACATTACATTTTTAAATTGTTTAATTTTTACTTTTCAAAATACTAGCAGTTTTTTGTATAATTTGGAGTTATATTGCTTTCTTTATAACTAAATTAAAAATTTATTACAGCATCTTCATTATAGAATTGTTATCTTAGAGAAGTAGGCAAGCATCTGGCTTTGGAACACTAGAAACTAGAGTTCCAATCCCAGCTGGGACAATATTATATTTAATTTTATTATTATTATTATTATTATTATTATTATTATTATTACTATTATTATTATCATCATCATCATCATCATCATCATCCTCCTTTTCATTCTTTGTAAAAAAAAAAGTTTGGAAATTTAACCATGTCCTAATTACATAAAACCTTTCAAATTTTCAAAAATTAAAGATACATAAATATTGTTTTTCAAATATCCTGCACTTCAGTGACCAGTTTTTGAACAGATGGATGAAGTATTCATTGGACACAAGTAGTAATATTATAAAATTACGTAACCATTACAAATAATACTAAAAAGTAGGTACTGTTTTGCCAAAACTAGTTTGATATTCACAATAACTTCAATAACCATTCCAATAGGAATCAGAATTCTAAAAAAACTTTTCTTAATATTGGGACATCAACTTCCACACAATAGCAACAATCACAAATCAACACCAACTTCACAACAACGGTGAAAAGCTCAATATAAAGAACCCAATGAATAATATACTAGTACTGTGTCAAATACTGCACAGCTCTCACTCTTCCTGCTAGCTAAAACACTATTAGGATATTAGCATGCATGAGCTCTTGATGGGGAGAGCACAATGCAATGCACAGGGAAGGTGGGAGCAATTTTCACCTTTCATAGATAGGACAGTCGTTTCTCAAGGGGTATTTTCAAACAGGAATCCTTTTGCAGCCTTTGTTGATGGTGCTTCAGAGTAAGCACGACATGCCACGAGGGAAAATTCATCATTACTTGTGTCTTACTCACGAGGAAAAACATTTTGCAACATCGACACAACAATTATTGCTCTTAGAAGTATGTTTACAAAATGAAGAGGAAAAAAACTAAACATGAGGCATGAAGTGGAAAAGACAAGCCATACATCGGTGAGCAATCAATTTCCTACAGTATTACACAGAAATATTACAAAATTACAGAGGCAAGTAACTTCCTAATTACCTGTCTATCACAGGCAATAACACACTAACATGGCTCTTGAGGCTTCAATGGAGAATCAAATCATTTTAGACTTACACTCAGAATAAACTAGTTGCACATTATCAACTTTTTCTCCATCTCATAACTTTCCTTTTACAATAATTTTACTAAAAATCTGAGTTTGTAAAGAATGATTGCTTCCCTTGCTTCAAGCCATTTAATTCTCTTTAACAAGTATAAAATATTTCAGATCAAAAATTAGTGATGCTAAAACACCACATACTTTCTCGCCCTTAACGAAACATACCATGGCAAAATTTTATAATAATCCCACAATTTCTGTTCAAATCAATACATTACAGTCAATGGGCACCGGCAACAATGGGCATATATTTTCTTATCAATTCTTGCTAAATGCCATTCTCGCCTAAAATGGAATTGATTTTCAGTTTTCATTGTTGTGGTTTTATATGAGTTCTGATAAGGCATTGGAATACAATTGTTTCTGTTACAATTACATGAATTATTTTTCGTAGTGTCTCCAAGAGTATTATAAGTTCATTCACTAAGTTTTCATTTTCTTGTAATGAAGACTTTCTACCAAACAAATCCATAAATAGTCTCTTCATAATCATGTCAACAGAACTTAAACATCATAGATGCCCTGGAAAGCAGTAAAGCAGAAAATCCACCAAAACATTTCATTTTTGCTGCCAACTCACCTTCATCTACTTCATACAATAATTTTTGAAGAAGTTAATACATATGAAATAGTAGCAAATGAACAAATATATTATAAACAAATTTGTAAACAGCAGTTAAATAAAAAATGTTCCAGAGGTTTCATATAAAGTACCTGCCAAAATTAAAATGTTGGTTTTAAATTTAAGAGGCTGCAACATTAGCTAGATCAATTATGGAATATCAATTTTGGTGAAAATCCTGCTCGATTTAGGTGCTAGCGTTGTTCACAAACAGACAGACAGACGTTTTGCCATCAATTGATTTATCAGTATCAAAGACACATAAATCATAGATTACGACTACACATGTTAAAAGGAGGTAATTTAACATATAAAGAAACAAGATTTATCCACTTTTTCATTACCATGGCCCAGCAATAAGAGTTTTGGTGTAGAAAATTCACTGTTTTCCTCATTGCACTACAATACATTCTCTGTACTGCACAAACAGTACCAAGGAAGTAAAAATTACTAATCTAAAATTTAGATTTTTTCTCCTTTAATAAGCAATTACTGAAGCTTTTCCTTCATTTTCCTTAATATTATAGTAGAAGAACAGTCTTCTCCAATAATTGGTTTGTCATAACAGTTAACAAATTTGTTTGTGACAAATTAACAAAACTTTTCTTTAAACTTTTTAATGCCTTTCAACCCATCTTTGTCAACATTTGAATTTTTTGGCAATCCTGAGATATAGTGACAAAAAAATCTGCAAAAAAGTTTTTATATTTTTCAAAAACGTAAATTCAGTTCAAGGACTGAAATAATGTATTGTTAAAAGTTCAACATAATGAATACAGCATACATTCTGATTAATTCCTGTATCATTCAATGGGTCAATCTTCACAGATGAAGAGAAAGTGATCTTAATGCAGTCACATAATTTTTTAAGCAAATTCAATTTCTATGCAGTACATCCATTAATGCCTTACCTTCATAAGTAAAAACAATATGCTCTCCACGGTAAACTATAATGAATTCTCAGAAGAAATCTCATGCAGGTTTCTAGGGGATCCAAAAAGTTATCAACTCATTACCTCGTTTATATCAACTGGCTGCCCATTAATATCATATCAGTTTGAAAAATAAGAAACTATCACATAATTTGGTACCTCTTATCACGTTGTCTGAACCCATGGTTTTCTAATACTGATTACACCTTCACATAATACCTAATTCACTAATATAATGTTAGTTTTTTTCTAAAGAATCTAAGAACTCCCTAGACAAAGTTTGTACACACACATTACCACCATCAAGAAATGATTCAAACTACTCAATGAAACAGTACCATTAACAAGTACATGGTTGATTACCCAAAACTTGAAAAAACAACTAAGAAAAAATAAACCTCATAAAAAATAACACGCAAGAGACTTTACAGATAATTAATATTATCAATAACACACAATTTTTGAAGGTGAGAAACAAGGTGCAAATGCAAATTTTGCCTTTCCTATAAAATTATAACTTCAGAAACACTGGCACTTAGATACTGGTCACTGAAGATTTGAAGGAAATATTGTCATTTTCTACAATACTAGTCAAATATTGCAACTGACACTTTAAACAGTTTTTTAAAATTATTTTCAGATTTGTTAATTCAGGTTTTTAAAATTACATTAGAACGATACATAACACTTGGTCAGTTGCCTACCGGCAGAAATAGACTCGTACCTTGCATGCCACAAACAGTGAACTGGATGAGGGTTAATATAATAATTTCTTCCCATACTTCACCTTCCCTTAATTCAATCTGTTCCCATTTTCAATCTATTTTTTCAATTAATTAATTATTAATTAAGTGATGGACCCATGGTTAGACACATGCAGGTTGCATTAATACTGAGTAAGGGTACAAACAATTTCTTCTACAGATGTCTTTTACACTATTTACAAAACCACATTTTATCAAATCAGCTTTTGAGTTATAAAATAACGGTGGAGGGCATAAGAAACTCACTGAATATTACACAACACTTACTCCAGAAATATCAATAACACGATGGCTAGGAATACTCTTCTTAGCATGTACACCTTGAGATGATTTACTTGCTTTCATCTCTGCAGCCAGTAAATCATCATAATGTGAAGACCTTTGATCATCATCTTGTCGGTATCGCACAACAGTGGCTAAGCCCTTTGCTACCAAAGCTTCAGCTATATTCCTGTAAGAAGCAGAGAAGTGCAACAAGATTCTTAACATAGACTGATAACTAATTTATATTCAAAATAAAAATACCTCAGTTTTACAAGCGACAAACAAATTATTTCTTTAACTTTTGTGGAAAGAAAGAAAAACATTTTAAAATTTTCACAACAATATTAACACATTTGTAATAAATTTCTCACAAAAATATCTCAATAATTGTTTTTAACTTACTGTCCGCCAATGGTGACAGTACAACATATTTTCTCTGGGAAATTATCACGAGCAGCCTGAATGTAATCAACCACAACATGCACTCGTTTGTTAATTAACTTCTTGCGAAGAAATTCACGTGCTTCAAACATCCAAGGGATGTCATAAAGTGGACGGAAGCCCTTCGGTCTTGGAGCAGGGGCAGCTGGTTCACCACCTTTTTCTTCGCTTGGCCTATTTTCCATTCAAACAAAAGCCTCAGTTAGTTTATATAAATATGGAAAACAGGAGTGACTGAAATTATGTAGATATAGATTTAAAACAACACAAGCACTACCAAATAACACACTCAAAACTTCATAATCGGTAAAATTCTGTATACGGGTTTATCTCTTACCTCTGTTCTCGAGGAGGACGAATACTTGCCAAAAATATCTTTTTTGATGACCCATCAGCCAACTTCACTTGCAGGGCATCCCCATTTATTACTTCTACAACGTTGGCTGAAAACTCTTTTTCTTTACCAGAAACCTAACAATAAAATAATATTACATCATATTTTAATCTTTCTTAAATCATATCCAATGGTAAATTGGATTAAAATGTTGGACTATACACTCAAACATAATTGTATTACTCCAAAATATATGAAATAAATTGCAATATGAAATAAATTGCATAATACGAAAAGAATCCAACCTGAGGTCCAGAAGGCTGATATTCTTTCCAAAATCTCAACTTTTTCTCTTTGGCTTCTCTCTCAGCAGCACGCAGTTTGTCTGCTCCTGATTTCATGAACGCCATACTCCAATCCACGCAACGAGCAAATCCTTGTCTCAGTAACTCTTCGGCAATATTACCTCTCTGATAAGGATGCAAATAATCAAGTTTAAAATGGCAAAGGGCGGTCTGTTATGATTATTATAATTTTAAAATAATAATAACAATAACAACAATAACAACAACAACAACAACAATAATAATAATAATAATAATAATAACAACATGTACTATATTTTACTAAAATTTGAAAATCTTGGCCAAAACCAAGATTTTAAAAAAAGTACATTTAAAAACTATGAACTAGTAACAATTTAATAAAAATCAGACAACTCACAGGATGAATAATTGAGCCCACGAAATTCATATTGTTATTTGATTCCAAGACAATTTGCACATCTCGTTGCAGTAACACACGCTCAACAAAAAATTTTGCCTCTTCAGCAAGAGGAACTTTAGTTTGCAAATCCGGTTTCCCATCAGCATCTAATTTAAATCCAGGGCACTGAAAACGTGATAAATGGCAGAGAAAAATAAAAAATTGAAGTTTCAAATCTTAAACTATGTTCATACAGTAAAATTAGTCCACAATGAAATTAACTGCAAAATTATTTTCTAACAGTAGTAAATCTTTCACAAGAACTGGTAGATATATGACTACCACATATACAATGTAATTGAATATTAGTATTCAGTATAAAAAAATTTCCTGAAGGCATTTGAAGTATCACACAAATAAATCACTTAGAATTGTTCTGTGTAAAAGAAATCAACAACATTTGTCCCAACACAAACTAAAAATTGTCTTTCCAACGTACTTTATGAATCAATAAAAGAAAAATCCAATGTCTACATTATTTTCATGAGGTGCAAATACTCTGCATGTTCCAAAAATTATTACATGAAAACTTTCCTAGTACAGTAATACACTTTATCCATCTGTTTCATACACTTCAATATACCTGGTTAAATGATAATTAAGTTCTCTTGTAAGGTAAATGCTATCTTTTGATTTAATAAGTTTATTTGTTTTTGTTCTCTTCATCCCTTATGTTCAATAAATTCCACCTGACTATTATTTAAAACATATGGTGTTGCCCCTTGAATTTAACTTATTAAAATTAAAGGTACAAAAATACAAATATTAATCTCCACTGCATGTTAATAGTTTCTCTGATGCACACTTAATAAAAAAGTCAAGAAAAGACAAATTCTACAATAAAAAATAAAGAGTTAGGGAAGTCTTGCTAACATACCCGAACACCAGCAATCATAAGGGTGATATGGTAGAAATCCGGCAATAAAAAAGCACGAACAGTAGAACCATCTCTCACATGTTCTATAACTGCACTTTGAGGCTTCCCACCACATTTGTCAACAAACGCTCTTGGATCCTCAATGTTCCACTTAATATCTCGCACATGTTCCTAATAAGCAAACAAATTATACATAAAAATTCTTTTGAACACTTCTATAAATAATTAAAGCATTCCATGATTTTGTTTGCATATGCAATATAAATCATAATTTATGGAAGAAAATTAGTTACTTACATTATGATCACCTGATGCATGTTTCCCTTTCCCCGCTGATTTTGCAGCTTCTTCAATTTCGGCCAAACGTTTGCCTTCAGGTGTTTGCCGCACACTATCTCTGACACTTGCCAAGCCTTCTGCCAGCAAGAGTTCAGTAACATTTTCTCCAGTAGTGATATCTAAACCCAAAGCATTGGTTGAATGAATTCTTGGGCGAGTATAAGAAATGGGAGGTAGTTGGCAACAAAAGTTTGATTAAAACAAATCCTACGTACAAGTAAATGGTAATATTTCTTTACATTTTTGGTACCCACCTTTCCCCAAGTATACACTGCCATATTCTCTTGTGGTGTTCGGAGAATTTTCAAGAGTAAAGAGAACTTCCTCTCCTACCAACTTTTTTCTTAGAAATTCACGCGCTTCCCAAGCATATGGTTCATCTTTTGAAATTTCTCCACCACTAAAATTAAACAGATCAATAATCATAATAAAAGCAGCTCCAACTGAATTAACTTTTCATACACAAGCCTGATTTGTTCAACTAACCCAGGTCCAGGTCTTCTGGCCAATTTTGGGGCAGTGATATAAGACAAATTTATTTGCTTCTCTGGAGGTGGACCCCCTTTAGGTTGTCCTCTTATAATTAAGGAATCACCCGAGAGGATCTGCAAAGAAATGCACGAACTTATTCACAAGATATACGTCATTATCGAGCCCATATGTGATTAAGCATGCTCCATGCTTTCCAAATGCATGCCAACAAGGCATGATAATTCTTATCACGATTGCTGGCGTCCAGCATCTTTCTATCTGAGAAAAATTGGAAACTTTATTCGTAAATTTAACTTCTGATTTATTTTTGTCTTTAAAATAACTTACTTGTTTCACAATCCCTCGGTTAACTTTTGGTTGCTGCTGTGGAGTACTCATGCTGCTGGGCCCATGCAATGAAAAAGGTCACAGTCGTGTGACGTCACTTGCGTCTTCCTGTTTTGCTTGAGACGTGTAAAGATATTTTCTCTCAGAAAATTATTGTTTCTACGAGAGCTAAACACGTTTTCAGGTTTCAAAATTTACTTCAAGTAATAATTTTGTGATCCCCAGAATATTACGGCTAACAGGAAGTGCATTTATGTTGTCTTTTGCTGATGTGGCACGAGAAGTGTGAGATTTAAATACCATCTGGTGTCATCGACATCAAGTTCGCAATCACTAGGGGGCGGTGCTTTGAAAATTTGTGTGGAAGAGCAAATTACGTAGTAACTGACCGTTGTGGATGAATAAAAATACCAGTTTATTAAAATTTGTGTTCTTAAAATACTTGCTAAAGACCTACAATTCGACAGGTTTAGAAAATAACATCACTATTTCAAAAGAGTATTGGACGTATCCAATTAACCTAAACCATTTCTATACGCTATAAAATATAGGTGCTAAAAATACAACACAACGGGAAAGAAAGAATCAATGATATATCCATATATCAAATGAAATGGAAGGAAAATCGAGCGCATAAATGTGCGATTCATTTTCTATGTTGCTCCTAAATTTGAATTTTCTATCAAACGTGTGTTTTTTTTGTTGTTTTCTTCTTTATTATATCATAGGAAGAGTTCACACATGAAGCAATTCTTGTAATATTCAGTAGATGCGGGAGGGAAAATGATATTAAAAATCCTTTATGGTACATAAAATTCACAAATTATCCATATTTCACCTCTAAATGCACGATTGTGTGAGTTTGAAATGTTTTTATGTTCGTAAATTAATTTAATTACGAAAACCTTCGACACTCAAATCAATACAAAGAGTTCATCTCCTCTGAAAATTTTAAATTTTTAGTATTGGTATTACTGACGTGAACCGGAAAAATCAAATTGTTGGTCAATGTGAAACTAGATTTATGATATCATTTATCCGCAATTGGGATTCAAAATACTAAGCAACCTAAAATAATTGCATATCTACTTGAATATAATTTAACGTCATCAATAGTAGGTGGCAGAAAATAGTTTAGAGAAATACAGCAACAATGCAAAAATAAAGGTTAAATATGTATAGGTTTTCCCACAGACTTGCAGTTAGGAATGATATGGGCCTTGGCCCCCCTAAAAAGTTTGAAAGAAGTCCATATCCTCACAGAATAAAGTAATCACTTCCATGTTGTGTCCGAACTAATCACGGGAACGGCTAAAACCGACATAGGTGGCTCAGGGCATCAACTGTTGTCACTGCAGTGCCTCTGCTGGGTGGTCCTAGGGTTCGAGTCCTGACGGTGGCTGGACACAAGTAACATATGTCGAATTCAGCTGGTCTGGAGAACTCTGGCGACCGGCTGCTCTGTTCGGTAGTTTTCAGTAGATACTCCGATTAACACCAGGCGGATGCCGTAGCAGTATCGTAGGGTGTTTCCTAAAGACCGGCACGAAACATCCACAGCGGGTGTGGTGACGAAAATTCTACGCTAGCCATGGCGACGAAATTCGCGAGTCTATTCAAACTGCAGGGTCAGTGTGTCAACGTTTGATGACATATTTTTTTTCATCCGATAAAGATAAGCTCTACCTTCATCTTCAGGAAATAGAAAATGACAAGTTACTCGTAGTATCTTTTCTGAGTAAATACTTTTCTTTATCTACAATTTTTATACAATTTTTAATGTCTCTTTAGAAAACGAAGAACTTGGGTCATTAAATTATCCTAATAATGACAACGTATGGAGAATTTCACACCTTGTTGTCACAAGGACAAGAAACTCTTTTATTTATTTACTTTAGAAGACTAGTGACTGTTTTGATAAAATTTTGAATTTGATTGCAGACGATATAAGAAAGTATGTCTCTTAACAATTGTGAAGCTATCTGATCTGAAGAATGAAAACGTATCATAATTATTATTAAAAGTATTTAAATTAAGTCATTAAAACGCATCACAATAATTACAATTTTATTGAGAGTCTCATAAGTAAAATGTACAAAACTTAATATTTACTTCTTACTCTCTCAGCCAATTATTTTTATTATATTATAAAGGTTTGTATTTTATACATTCATACCACAATTGACCGACTGAGATGACTGTAGTTGCCATCTCTGCATTTCTGGGATGGTGATGCTTGGAAGGGAAAATCTTCGCAAACGGATGTGTGAGTCGGCACCTCATCTCACGTTCTAGCGAGGAGAAACACCATCAACTCTCGAAATAGCATGCACTACACTTAAGGAGCTAAGGATCGCGAAAGTTGACGTGTCCGGTAACACGAAATAATAATTAATAACACGGCGCGAAGCAGGATATAGAGCGGAGCCGGGCTTTTATTATATTGTTGTTGTTGTTATTATTATTATTATTATTATTATTATTATTATTATTTATATTAATATTATAAATTATTATAATAAATATGTGAACAAGGTTAGGTTGGTTCTGCTAATACCTTATGAAAAGTATATACAAGACATACAGTTACATTTTAAAACTTTCAGTGGCAATGGTAAATGGAAATATTCAGGGATGAATTAATCAAGCAGACTAAGCAAATGCATAGGGTCCGTGCTCGATATGAGCTCTCAATATTTCTTTTAATCATAAGAAAAATTTCAGCATTATAAATAGTTATTATACTTGATTAGTAGTCAGTAATCCACTGGCTCAAAACTTTTGTATCATTTTTAAAATCAATATTTTCTTTATTTGTGGCAAATTTAAATAATTTAGAAGCAATTTTATCGCAAAAAATGTGTTTTAAGCAAAAAATGTGTTTGTTTTATTTTTCAAAACAAATGCCAATATTTTCAAAATAATTGTATATTTTTAATGTACTTATATTTTTTATTATTTCAATATATTTTTTTACATTAAAACATTGCTACTTTGAATTATAATATCTAGACATGTATCATTTACAAAATTTCTTAAAATTGTTATAAAATTCAAAAGACAACTAGCAGTGGCATAGTATGAGAGAGGACTAAGTTAGAAACTATCTAACCATTGGGGAAAATATTAGGAAAATAATAATAGAATCTGGAATATATTTTCAACAGAACATATTCAATTCTGAATCTCTTTTGAAAATGTAAGGCACACATCACCACCCTGCCAGCAAGTAGATGGGCAACTCAAAGGTAGGATCTTTCTAGACACATCCTAATTTGTCTTTCAAGTTCTGCAATAATATTCTACAAGTGCAGTGAAGTGGAATTTGAAGAGAGAAGCCTCCTAATGAAAATAAAGTACCTTACTGCAACCAACTTCTCTTTCTCGTCGAGATTCTTTTCAGAACACTGTGTTCTTTGTTGCACTTGAGTGTGAGGAGTCATTAATTTCAAAGTGTAGTTGAAAAATTAAGATTTTTAATCTTCTCCTTCCGTTAGTACTACAACTCTTTGTGGATCTTAGCTTTCAGGTCTATATCATCCCATTATTTCCTGTCCATTATAGCCACTCTCCACTTTCTTTCATTAAACAATCGAAGATCCTCGCACATGTCATCCATCCACCAAGAGCTTGGATTTCCTTTCTTTCCATTCCGTAATATTCTTTGGGAGCCTACTGCTATACATTTTTTGCTGAGCTCTCTTTCTTTAATTTCAACTTGGATTTGATTTTTCTCATTCTATATACTGCCCAAGTAATTTAAGTTTTCCATCCCCTAAAACTGGTAGTTGTCTATTTGTATGTTTTATACTCATCAACGGAAATATAGTAAGATGTAGATTTATTTAGTCAAAAACAGTAAAAAACTGTATGTGACGAATGGAGGAGAAGATCATCTGTGCACGTTTTCTTGAGTTTCAGGATCTTTTCCCATTATTTTAACTAAAAATAGTTGAAAGATGAGCAAAAGTTAAAGATAAATAAAAAAATTTAAAAGCGCAAGATAGCAATATTTGACAAACTAGTCATTTTCGTACCCGAGTTAAAGAAAAAATATTTGCAACTGTAAACGAACTGCAGATTTGATTTCTCTGCGTTGCCAAAGAAGTAGGAACTCGTCCTGACCTCTACTCCTACCATTACAAGTAAAAGGAGACTTCAACAAAACGTACGCACAGTGAAGCTACATTTACGCCCAGAAGCAAAACAAGAAGCCTTTACTCAATGTATCGGGGAAACTAGACAAAAACCTGATCGAGATGGGGGTCATTGACCCGAAAGCTGAAGTACATTTTTTGTTTCAAGCATGTTAAATATTTTCCAAAAAATTATACAATAATAATGCAAACTAATTCATTATATCAGTGTTTGTTAAAATAAAAATTAGTTTCCCTTTTGATGATCAGTACGTACTGTTATTTATGCAACTCTGCTGCAGGCAGGTATCAGCTGTTGACGGTTTCATCCAATCGGGAGCTGGAACTTGGAGTCACAAAAATCGCAGTATAATCTCTAGTTGTATAGAAACAGTTATGCATCAGAAAAGATTTTACTTTTAACTTAAATTTGTGAACCGACTTCAATTGTTTAATGTCATCGGGCAATGCGTTGTAAGGTATTAACGTACATGTATTGTACGTGGATTTTTGGTTGTGAGCTTGAGATACTGACACTTGAGGACCGCGATTTCTTCGACGTGTGTTGTAATTATAAATATCAATATTGCATGAAAATATGTCCCCGCCGTTAAGTAAGTCAGTTTTGTGAAATATTACAGTTGCGTAAGTAAATAGCAAATCAATAGTCAGATTCCAAGCTCCAAAGAAGAGAGGGTTGCAGGGTTCACGCCGATTGCATTTTTTCATTATTCGAATAATTTTCGTTTGCAATCTGCAACGAAACGAACGTCTGGATACTACATGATGAGCTTCGCGAGAATATTATGCCATATCACAGGCGGGAATCTTCTCCGCCATACGTCACATACAGTTTGTACTTTTTATTATTTTTATTTATTTATTTATTTATTTATTTATTTATTTATTTATTTATTTATTTATTTATTTATTTATTTGACTAAATAAATCGGAATCTAAACAAAACCGTTCTTACGTAGTGTACGTTACGTATACATAGTGTACGTTACGTATACATAGATGAGGGCATATCGGCCACGTTTATCAGAAAGATATTAGGACCTAAGATCGAAGCTTGTGGGACACCATATTCAATTGGTAAAGCATTAGAAAGATAAGTAAATAATGTACTTTCGTGACAGTACAGTATCTGTACTCTTTCAGATCGATGTTTAAGGTATGAGGATATCCTATCTAGGGCGACACCACGAATTCCATAAGAAGGTAATTTTGATAGCAATATATGATGGTCAATAACGACAAAAGCTTTTGAAAGATCTAAAAATATTCCAATAGGTGCTTCAGTTTGGTCCATTAATGAAACAACATCTTAAAGAAAAGAAAAATGGCAGTTTCCGTAGATTTTGATTTTCTAAAACCGTGTTGTGAGTCTGAAAACGCTT